TTTAAGCAAAAATTTCATAGATAATAATTATTTTCTGTCTCTGATAAAAACATTTATTTCGATACATATGTATACATTTATAAAAATTACAAATCACGTACTACTTTACTTTATAAAAGTAAAACAATAAATTTGTAGGGTCTAGCTTCATCCTGATAAACGACCGAAACAATAAAATTCAAAAAGTCACCAACAAATCTGGGATTATTGAATAAAAATTGTGTATTTTAGTATTTACGAAAAAATTGGAGATATTTTTAATATTTTCTAACATATAGAGAATATTTTTTATTCATGATTTTTTTCGTTCGTCTTCGCGGACCCCCTAGGATTTTGCTACGGACCACTAGGGGTCCGCGGACCCCCTTTTGGGAACCGTTGGACTAGACTATAGACTAGACTATAGACTAGACTATAGACTAGACTATAGACTAGACTATAGACTAGACTAGACTAGACTATAGACTAGACTATAGACTAGACTATAGACTAGACTATAGACTAGACTATAGACTAGACTATAGACTAGACTATAGACTAGACTATAGACTAGACTATAGACTAGAATATAGACTAGACTATAGACTAGACTATAGACTAGACTATAGACTAGACTATAGACTAGACTATAGACTAGACTATAGACTAGACCATAGACAAGACTATAGACTTGACTATAGACTAGACTGTAGACTATAGACTAGACTATAGACTAGACTATAGACTAGACTATAGACTAGACTATAGACTAGACTATAGACTAGACTATAGACTAGACTATAGACTAGACTATGGACTAGACTATAGACTAGACTATAGACTAGACTAGACTAGACTAGACTAGACTAGACTAGACTAGACTAGACTAGACTAGACTAGACTAGACTAGACTAGACTAGACTATAGACTAGACTAGACTAGACTATAGACTTGACTAGACTGGACTATAGACTAGACTAGACTAGACTAGACTATAGACTAGACTATAGACTAGACTATAGACTAGACTAGACTATAGACTAGGCTATAGACTAGGCTATAGACTATGGACTAGACTAGACTATAGACTAGACTAGACTATAGACTAGACTACACCAGACTAGACTAGACTATAGACTAGTCTATAGACTAGACTATAGACTAGTCTATAGACTAGACTATAGACTAGACTATAGACTAGACTATAGACTAGACTATAGACTAGACTATAGACTAGACTATAGACTAGACTATAGACTAGACTGTAGACTAGACTGTAGACTAGACTATAGACTAGACTGTAGACTAGACTATAGACTAGACTGTAGACTAGACTATAGACTAGACTATAGACTAGACTATAGACTAGACTATAGACTAGACTATAGACTAGACTATAGACTAAACTAGACTAGACTATAGACTAGACTATAGACTAGACTATAGACTAGACTATAGACTAGACTATAGACTAGACTATAGACTAGACTATAGACTAGACTATAGACTAGACTATAGACTAGACTATAGACTAGACTATAGACTAGACTATAGACTAGACTAGACTATAGACTAGACTATAGACTAGACTATAGACTAGACTATACTAGACTAACTATAGACTAGACTATAGACTAAACTATAGACTAGACTATAGACTAGGCTGTAGACTAGACTATAGATTAGACTGTAGACTAGACTACAGACTAGACTATAGACTAGACTGTAGACTAGATTATTGTGAATAAGAAAAGTTTACTTTTTAGTTGCTCGACTTTCGAGGCAATCATATATACATACGTTGAATTATTTCCCATTTAAACAACCCAAAATGTAACGGCTGAAACGAAACTTCTATAAAATTGTTATACACTTTTCGGCAAGTTCACCAGATTTCCGTGGTGAATAAACAAGTGAGAAACCAAACAAGAGATAATAAAGAGGAAATAAACAAATACATACAAGCACAGCGCATGAATATATAAAATTACACTCTTTTATTAGATGCAACTCTCACTAACTGATTTTAATAATAAACAGCGGCAGAAACAACAACAAACATAATAAGAATAAGCCAACTTAATAAATATTCGTAAGCAGCAAAGTCAAAGTACCAGTATCTATTACTTGTGTAAAAAAGTAAAGATAGAAAACAAACTAGAAAATAAAAACAAAACAAATAAAACTTAAGTTTGTTTGGTGCTTGTTACTGGGAGCATAAACATTTTAATAACAACTACGTGAATATACAAATATTGCTAATGGCAATGTTGCCAGATATTATAACTTTCCTAGACATTGAAGAAAAAAAGTAATAATTGCGAAGTAGTCGCAAATTTCAGATCATGAAATAACTTTGTTCCGAGATGCGTTCTTGTAGAGCGGGACAATAATGTCTTGTCTTCTTCGTGTAAACAACTTCTGCAGTAAATATTAAGTGGATAACCCAAACATCGATACAGCCAAGACGATACAGCAGCCTGAGAAATATGTATATACTTTTGCGGAACAGTTTCGGACAAGGATAATATTTTAACCATTACTTAATTTCCCCGTAAGCATCCTGGAATCCATTTCCACATCTACTTAGTGTGATTATTATTACTCCCATTTAGATCCATTAAAAAACGCAATCAAACGCAAACTGGTTGAACGTTCGCAAGTAATAAGACCTGTCTGTTTTTCATTTTCGATCCACACATAGAGCAGGACAGCCACAGAAAAGATGTGCTGCCGTTTCCTCTTTATCTTAAATTTGACAGCTGCTACATTATATGGAAACCCTATGCGTCTAGCATGGTTGGCGAATCTACAATAACCAGTAATGACTGATATCAGGTACTTAACTGAGACCATTGAAGGCCTATGGGATAAGATGATCTGAGTATATATATACTAGGTCATGAAAACCTAGTGACAGCTGGAAAGCTCCATTGGTCTTGAGCTACAATAAAACATATTTTTGAAATATAGTTAGAAGGGGAACACCTCTAAATTGGTTCATATCTAATTCATCAAGCTGCGCTCCCGCTTTAGCCAATTTATTAGTAATGCAATTACCATAGTTATCCCCGTGTTTCCTTACCCATATAAGGATTATGTTCAAATGTCTCGCCATCTCTTTTAGATACTCCCGGTACTCCTGGACTAGTTTAAATATGGATTGCACACCGATCAGGGACTTAATAGCAGCTTGACTGTCAGTATAGATTCAGATATCCCTATTAGATAGTACTTTATCCAGATCGCCGCCCTCTTAATCCGTAATATTTCGCAGATATTTGTTCCAAATTATTTAATGAAGATGCCTCCACCAACCCTATTTAATATTTTGAATTCATCTGTCTAAACACATAAACATTCCGAATTGCAGGGATTGGAAATGTACGTAAGATACCAAAAATTTCTTTTAAAATAAGATATACAATAATCAATGACATTATAGGGTTTGGGGAAATTTTCTGTGATCATGGTATGACCCCTACTATAAAAATTATATTTGCTAATGACATTTAACTAACTTACTGCAGTGCACATAGCTAGTTGCCTTGTCATAATATTCACCGGTAGCCTGTTTACCAGAATCAGTAATGAGAAGAGCAGAGGATCTCGTTATCTTTAACTACGGTCATCTTAGCAAAAGTTTTAAAATTTTACTCAGACTGTAAAGGATTTTATTTACAACGATATGTCAGATAATAGGATGACTCATGGCATATTCTTTATTCTTTATCCAACCTTTAGTGTTTCCGGGAGCCCTATTATTGATTAATTAACATACTTGCTCTTATGTTTATTATTTGACAATGGTCCCATTAAAGGTCCTTTTCAGAATATGACCTTAACATTCAAAGCCTACTTAAACATACCAATATACTAAGGAACATAAACATTTGAACCAAAATCTCTGTACCTAATTTCATGGTGACCGGTCCATAATTAAAGGAATTCATTATATTGTTAATAAATCGTTTAAAAATGTGGAGTTAATTCTGACAAATGATCTATGCCCCCATAAAAGGCCCTCTTTCGAGGATCGGTCCAAAATTACTTATGTATGTATGTCTATATACATACCAGGGATGGCAAATTAAATTTTCAAATTGTACAAAACATCATTTAAAATTGTACTTAATTTTATCAATATAAAACAAAAGGATCTCAAGTCGACTTCCACAGTCAGTAAACTAATCAATGTTTGTACCAGAAGGCAAGTTCATTAGTCAATGTACTAGTCTATTGATTAGAAAATGGGCTATTATGTAGACTAGTCGGCAGACTATAAACTAGACAAATAAAACTAGTATATAGAGTAGTTTTTATACTAGTCGAAAGACTAATTCTTAGAACGGTCCCTACTACTTTAAGCATCTAGATAAAAGTAGTTTACAAATTATAGATTAGTCATTAGACTAGTCAGTAAACAAGAACATTTAGTCAATGTACTGCTCTTTAGACTATTAATAGACTAGACGGTCTATTGTCTCTTTATGGACTAGAGAATAGAGTAGTCTATAAACTAGGCAATAGACTAGAAAACGATTAGATACATAATCCTAAAAAGTACTCTCGTTGGTAAATGTTAATAATGCTATTTTGGTTGTAATTTCTTCCAGGATTATATACAATATGAGAGAATATAAAAAATAATTGTATATTTTAATTTATTATTTCAATAAGGGAATATATTTTAAAATTGTACAATATGGGTCATTGGTGTACCATTGTAATTATGAAGATCGTATTGTACCAAAAAAAGTACAATTGTACCAATTTTGCCAACCCTGATACATACATATGTTGATTTTTGTTATACATATAAGATTCTAATTTGTTTTGATTTATTTTATACAAAACTATTTGGGAATCTCAATTTAATATTTTAGGTTACTTAAGCTTTAACATATCTGGCTACACTGTCTGTGAGTAAAAAGCAACAAACAACAGAGAACAAACGAACGGAAAAATATGGCCAACAAACAAACATTATTTCAAACATTGAGAGCCAAAGAAGCAAACAATCAATGTTGGCCTAAACTGTCTGAGGAGGGAGATGTTACAAATACTATGAGTAGAATACAAGCAGCAGAGCAAAAGCGCAACACCACCACCAACACCAGCAGCAGCAGCACCAGTCCAACCGTAAGCCAGTTAGTACGAGACTAGTACGTTTGGGGAGCATTAAATAAAACACATAGAAAACAGATGCGAATTTTGTTGAAGCCGTAAAACCAGTTAGTTGGATGGATGGTTGGTTGGTTGGATTGTTAGTTGTTGAATTATTCTGTTTTTCTTTTTCGCTTTTGTTTTTTGGCCCAGCTTGATTGTGACGACTGACTCTATAGACTAGACAAACAACAAATCAGTTGAGCTTTTGCAAACGACTACGGAAGGTGTATTTCAGTCAATTTGGTTTTGCGTGCGCGTGTGTAATTTCTTTCCACATTTAATTAATAACAAACAACAAAGTTTTGTTATAATTTTAAAAAAATTATTAAGTAAATAAAAATAAATAAAAGTAATAAAAAGTTTTTATGATAAAAATTAAAAAAAACTTGTTTTATTTTCACTTAAAAAAAAAACTTGAAAAAATTGTTTTTTTAAAAAAAGCAAAGAATTTGAAATTTTGCATGATTCGATTTCAAAAATAAACCTCAACTACAAACAAATTGCTTATTTAAGTGAAATTTTTAGTAATTTGTTTTTGTTCTGTTTTGAGAAAAAAATTGTTTGTTTTTTAAAAAAAATTTTAAAAATAATAACAAACAATCAACAGCCTTGAAAACTGCTGCTGTTGCAAGTAAAATTTAAAAAAAGAAAGAAAATCATAAAAAAAAATTACTACTAAAACAACAACCACTAAAAAGTGAAGCTTCAATAAAAAAATAACTTGAAACTCAAAAGAAGAATCTGAAAAAAGTAAAACAACTAAAACAACAACGAAAGAAAAAGAAGTAAAACAATACCCTCATTTCTTCAAGTGACTGACTGCATTAACAAACAACGACCGAAACCTTGTGTCTTGTGAAATGTATCTTACGGATGCACATGACAATTTTTTTGTTTTTAACAAATACACATTGTTGTTGTTGTTGCCTTTAAGCTACTAATGCTGTCGCTATAACGCTGCTAATGTGTTTTCATAATTAGTTACAAAAATAAATTGCAAAAAATAAACAAAAAGAGTTGAAAACAAAAATTACAACTAAAGAAAATAACAAACTAATTTTTTACAACAACAATTAAAACAACACTTTTTGTTAAAGAATTTGTGCAATTTTATTCTTCAAACCTTTAATTAAAAAAAATTATTTGAATTGTGTTCATATTTTTTGATTTTGTGTTGTTTTTTTGAGTTCTGCTTCGAAAGTGAATTTGGATTTTTTTTGTTTGGTTTCACTTCATTTGATTTGCATAATTTATTAATATTATTTCTTTATTAATAAATAAGCATTGTTTGTGTTGATATCTTATAATTTATGCTTAAAACCTATACTATAAAAGTAGTTCTAACAAAAAAATTTTTTAAAAAATTTCTTTTCGATTTAAAAGAAATTTCTTTTAAGAATTTTATTTATTGGCCACAAAAAAGAAAATAATTTATGTTTGTTTTTGTGCTTTAACATTGTCTAGTAGTAGAAATTTATCAAAATATTTTGCATTAAAAAAGTGTGGTGCATTTTATGGAATCAGCAGAACGTGTTTGAGAAGTAGATTCAGTTTGATACCGAAAAAAGGTAAGTTTTAATTTGAATTATTCACATAACAAATCTTTATTATATATAGTCAATAAGAATGTTATAGGCAGAGTTATAGTATTCCATGACTGTTTTTTTTTTCTCCGATAAACGAATTTCAATGGGATATGCCACGCTCACTATATATACATACGAATATACTTACACAGAATTTGGTGGCTCAGACTGTTAAAGTATCTCAGATATAGGAATTTTGATTTTTAATTTAAATGAGAGATACCACGCCCACTATTAATAGTTCGCCCGTTTTTACCATAACTCTTCATATCGATGTCAAAGTTGACCGTGCAAAATTTGGGTACTACAGCAGTTATAGTTTCTCAGATATACAAATTTTCTTAATTGATTAATAGGATGAATGACACGCCCACTATTTCTAGGTTGCCCATTTTCCTCCTTAAAATTCATATGTTCACTTAAGTTACTATTACAAAACTTGGTCACACTAACTTTTATAGTTCCAAAGATATTTTAGTATTTGATTGATATGGGAGGTGCTACGCCCACTGACGCTAGTCTGCCAATTTTTTCCAAATGTTTATATAGATGTCAAAGTTGGCGGGGTAAATTTTAATTTTGTTACAATTTCCTTGATGTACGAATTTTAGTATTTGATTTAATTGAGAAATGCCACTCCCACTTATTCCAGACAGCCCATTTTTTCCCCCAAAAATTAATATTGATATGTACTTAAGTTACTAGTACAACCTTTAGTCACTCTAGCTCATATAGCTTCCCAAATATACGAATTGTAGTTTTGATTAATATGGGAGATGCCACGCCCACTAATGCTAGTCTTCACATTCCCAAGATGTGTATACGGCTGACAAAGTTGACCGGGCAAACTTTGAAGATTCTAGCTGTTCTAATTTCCTAGATATGCGAATTTTATCATTTGACTAATATTGGAGATGCCACGCCCACTAAAGCCAGTCCGCCCTTGTTTTCTTAAAATGTTTATATTGAAGTTAAAGTTATCAGTGCAAAATGTTTGATATTAAAATTTCGCATATATACGAATCTTAATGCGTATTTTGTATAAGGGCGTGGGACCCCGCCCATATAAAATAGCAAAACAAAATGTTGCTTTTAGTTGCTTCTTTAGCTGTTTATATACTTTAAAGTAAGGAAGGGTTCGGGCTACAACACAGTGTAGGACTTTTTCTGTTCTCTTTTGTTCCCTGTGATTTACGGACATTGAACTACCAGATTTTGGCAAAATTTTGACCTTTTTTATACCCACCATCCAAAAAGATGGGGGTATATTGATTTTGTCACTCTGTTTGTAACACATAGAAGTATCGCTCACAGACCTCATAAAGTATATATATTCTGGGTTCTCGTAAAATTCTTAGACGATCTAGACATGTCCGTCCGCCTGTTGAAGGCACGATAAAGCCGAGAGGAATGGACCTAGGAAGATGAAATTTTTCCAAAATATTCTACATTGATCAGAAATGTTTGGTTTTGAAAATGGGCAATATCGGTCCACGCCTTCACATAGCACCCATACAGGTGACCCCACGGAATATTGATTAAATCGTCGTAAAATGTTAATTTTTTCAGTAAATGTAATGAAATTTCACACAAGTTTGTTTTAAGTATCTAGAAAGTATTATGTAAAGTATGGTTGATATTATCCTATAACTGATCTTACCCCCATAGAAGATTCCCCCCTACAGAAAATAACTTTAACGATCACAACTGGCCTAAAAGTACCAGTATATCAATGAAATTCGAAGGAAGTATGAAACATAAATCTTTCTACTTAATTTGATGGGGGTCAGACCATTTTTGATCCTACCCCCATATAAGGACCCCTTCAGACTTTAACTCTCATTATGGCTCTCTCTACAACATTTTATGAGGATCGGCCCATAATTGACCCTACCCTACATATAAGGTCCACTTCATAATGATATGAACAAGTTTTATGAGAACTAAACTTTATAAGAATAGGTCTATAACTGATCCCATCCCCCCATATACACCGTATATGGAGGGATAACTTTAAATCTCATAAATAGCATAAAAGTAACAGTATTGCAATGAAATTCTACAAGAACAAGTTTTATAGCAACAAAAATATTCCTACTTAATTTTATAAGGATAGGTCCATAATTGAACTTACTCCCCATATAAGGTCCCCTTCAGAAAATGACTCTAACACCCATGTAAGGTCCTCTTTAGAAAATTATTTAAACACTCATAAGAACTTTGAAATATCAGTAAAGTAGCAGAATTCACCCGCAACAAGTTTCATAGAAGTTCAAATCTCTCCTTGCAAATTTCATATGAATCTGCCCATATTGGATCAAAGAAACCAGATAATTTGCCATAATCAAGATTTATATGTAGGTTTCAAAAATTACTCTTCAATATTATATGTGGATCGGTTTATAATTAATCATATCCCCTATGTAACATCTATCAATAAATATTTCAAACCCGAGGTTTACTAACTTTAAAATCGGTTGCCATAAAAAAACAAGTAAGAAATTATAGTCGGGCGAGGCCGACCATATAATACCCTACAGCTGTTACAAAATTAAAATGTGATTTAGTTTTCATAATAAAGCATTTAAGTTGAATTGTACCTTGCCTCAGATACACTTAAGCCATTTATTGTTGAATAAAATTGTGGACATTTAGGTCAAATTTTGAAGGGGGCTTTGTATAGGGTCTATGGTCAATGGGACCCTATAACTATAAAATTTTTGAGGGTCATTAAGGCTAGTAGAGAACTTGTTTTTGCAGCTTTTTGTCGAGATACGAGTATATTAAACGTTATTATGAACTTATGAACCCCATTCGGCGGTTTCAGGTGTAATAATGGACCGATGTTAACCATTTTAATAGGCTTCGTCTCCGATATCATAGAAGATCGTGTGCCAAATTTCATTGTATTATCTTCAAAATTGCAACCTGTAGTTTGATTACACGGTTTACAAGCCCTATTCGGAGGTTTAGTTGTATGGGGGCTAGGTGAAATAATGAACCGATCTTAACCATTTTCAATACGCTTCGTCCCTGTGACAATACCATGTACCAAATTTCATTGAATTATCTTCAAAATTGCGACCTGTAGTTTGAAAATGATTCTAAGCCGATTGGTATACTTTAAGGTGGGTATATTTTTATGTTGTGCTAAAAATTAATTTTGATATAATAATAAGTATTGAAAATATTGAAATTTCATGAGATTTGTATCTGAAAAGGGCCACGCATACACTATTATATGTGAGTAGGTCTAATAAACATAATTTGCATTTCTGTTTTTATAACAATAATTTAAGGTTTGGGGAACTTAAAAAATTCTTTTATATTTTAATGTTAATTCTTAAAATGCTAAGAATTTACATATTTGTTAAAATATGCCAAATTTTAGTTTGTTAATTAAATATGCAAATGAATTTTAATTATATAGGTCATTTCTGTTTTGAATTTGACAAATAAAACTACAATAATAAGAACAAATATAGTTGCAGAAGCATATGTATGCATAACTGGGCATTTCATATTAATAGGGCGGATATAAATCTGATTCAAACTACTAAATTCGATTAATTATATTAAGAATTAAGTTTTGAAACACCCTAGAAAAATTACCATAATTGGGATTTTATTTATTATTAATAAGATACTAATATATTCCCAACAAATATTATTAAATTTAAACATTATTAAATGTATAACTACTAATAATTTTGTCACAAAGAACAGTCATTAAGAAAATGAGGTTAATAAGAAAATTTCAAAATTTGTTATTACTAATTTAAAGTTATTAATCAGTTATGAAATATAAGTAAGGTCATTTATTATTTCACATAAGCATTTTATACAAAATATTAATAGGAAGATGTATAAACATTAAAAAACATGAATATTGCCAACAATTTCCTTTCTCTATTAAATCTATAGATGAACAATTTATTTGGCCAATAAAATTTAAAAAAAAATTTTAAAAGTTGCCAAAAAATTTTAATTAAGTTTATACGTGCATTTTGTTTTCTGTCTAGTCTTATAAAATTGTAGTGGTACATTATGTATGTTTTTGGTAAAATCTTGTAAACACTTTCAATTTTATTTTAGAGGAAAAATACCGATACTCGTAAAACACATGTTAAAATAGTCAGGTATCAGGAGAAGAAAAATACAACTACATAATTTCGACACGACAATTAACCCATATTTTGCAAATAGGGGTCATTAAAGTAGTACATACTTATTTTTTGGGGTTGTAATGTAGAGAGTATAATTTTTATTGTACGTTATATAGTAATCAATGAAGATATTATCATCCGATGTTCAGAAACTTAGTTTCCTGGACGTAATACCTAAGATTTTTAGAATCAGTGTTCGTAAGGGATGCTATATTCGGAATAATAACACTCCCAAGATATTGCGATCTAATTTCTGCAAAAGAATGACAATGACAAATAAATTGCTACAGAATTTTACTGTTCTATCCATATGCTCTACATTCGGTTGAATCCGCAATTTTGTATAGTTGTTCCAGTAATCCTGTGTGTTCATCTCATATCATTCTCAGACTTGCTCATTTTGAATAGGCTTCTCGCCTCATCCCATAGGACCTATGTGATTCTACCCATCATTTAATTATTCCAAGAGGCCTTATGGAGTTCTCTAGCCCAAACTTTTTAAATCAGTTCTTGTTACTTCGAATGGTTTTTGCGTTCGTCAAGTTAACTATCTCTTACTTTAAAGAAAGTAAAATCGCTCTTTTGTTGCCGACTACTCACAAATGACGACAAAGCTTGCCTCTATGAGAGTAATCGGATAAAGTCCTCTTACAATCCAATACGGTCTTAGGTTTAACCTTATCACCTCAAATCGCTCTAATTGTCTTCTGGTTGTCTGTCCAAGTTCCATCAGACCACATTATATTACCACCGATGCTACTCTGTTTGGACAATAGTTTTCTTAATCTAGAGGCATACTTTATAGTTTCTGTTTCA